AATAAGATCTTGATTAAATATGAAATGAAGGGCTTCCTTCGTAATTAAACGGCTTATGCAAAAATATAGGAGCTCGATATGAAAACAAACAATACGAAAACAGCCCAATCTACTCTATTTAAACTTTTCTTCACGCTTGTATCATTTTTTACAGATGAAGGGGCGTTTTGGCAATGCTTTCACCTATGTATAGCCGTAGACAAACAGAAGAGTCCGATATACTGTAGTGTACCCCAGCAACTTGCTATAGATAGAAATTTCTAGTGCATATAACTATTCGATTCAGGGGTTTATAGGATTGTTCTGGCCGCCGATCGCCCCTACTTTCGTTCATATTCGTGCAGCAAACGTCAGTCGATTTGTTCAGTATTCAGCGGCGATTTATTAAGTTTACACTGCCGTAGTGGTGCGTCCATTGCCTCGCTGATGAAAGATGAGTGCGAGTGAGCGCGAGAAATTTGGAAAATGTAGGGCGGAGTGGAAAGGTTGCGTGCTGTGAAGCGTTCGAAATGCTAGTATTCAAGAGAAAACCGTTGCCATTCTCTTCAGCGAGCATGGTGAACTTAGCGTGACAAAAGAATTATGTCTTGATATTTCAGTAACTGCTGTTGTTTCGCCGAAGTAAAACGAAAATCTCATAAGGTTGACGAGTTGTAGGAAAAACTTTGGCCCCGGACGGGACTCCAACCCGTACTTGGACTGTCCGAGCACCGTGCTACAGTACAGCAGCACGGTATCCGGATAGCACAAGTACGGGTTTGAGTCTGCCCGAGGCCGAAGTTTTGTCCATAACTTGCCAACCAACCTTGTGAGAAAAAAAACTTTTGTCATTGTGAGACATCAGGGAAACTTCATAAAAAATTCCTGGAAAATAAAGGAGCATAAGGTGAAATTGAACAAAAGTGATATTGTAATAGCTCACACAACATAATGGTCATCAATCTTCCCGAATTCCATCTTAAATAAAAAAAATATTTTCTACCAATCCGTCCTGGAGTAGAATTCCTAATGAAAGTCAGACATTTTCAGTCGTTCCATACTATGGGTCCCCAATAGCCTCACCGTCGGAAACAGCAAACAGAGAAGTACGGTCAAGGCTAGTAGGATGCAAAAGTACTTTGTACATTCGATTCATCGTGAACTGCTGAACTAACTATTCATCCTTGAGCCCAGATACAGCAGTAGATGCGTAACACAGCCTGTTCTTTACTTCTCGAGCAGAAAGACAGCAGGTTCTTCTTTGTTACCCTTCTATTCTTGTTCCAGCACTGATATGAGGAGAGCAGTTGAGCCGGATTCAGATTCTTACTATTTAATCGAGTTCAAAGTACGGCTTCTCTTGGTAAAACCATGGGATCAACCATGGTTCGCGACTCGAGTTGGCGTACCAGCCTCGACAAGCTCTGACAGCGACGTTTTTTGGATTGTTGTACACAAAAATCTCGGCAGGTCGATTGGCAGGAATCCAACCCTATAAACATTTTTTACTACGTCCAGCTGTTCAGTCAGTGCTCGAGGTCACTGACGTTTTTCCTTTCATCAATTTTAATTCTATTCAAGGGCATCGATCTATCTCGGCGATAAGGTTCACTGCTATAACTCTGGGGTTCTTTTTCTACGAGAATGCTCTTGTTCCTTCAGAAAATCTTCTATACTATACTAGCGATAAAGAAAGGCAAAGTCACCGCTCAATTGAGTTAGAGTTCTTTCTTGAAAAGGGGCCTAAAGAAAAAACAAGCGTCAAAGAGCAAACCCGTGGATCAGAAATGACATTCTTTTGGTGAAATTGTTTAAGCTGAAGTGATAATTGTTCCTCACCCACATCTCTTATTTTTCAATCAGCTGGTGATGTCACTTTAAGAGAGTTTATATTGATGAAAGTCTGTGCAGTTGGGGTGTGAAAATCGGGTTAGCCAATGGGTCAACATGACAAGGAGTCATCGGGTGGCATAATCGGAAGCTCGTTCGGAATTTATGAGTAGTATTATGCTGTTTGAGGTGCTAGACTTTGGACTACGTGTTTTTTATCCCCCCCCACCCCTTCTCGATCGAAGACCTCCTTGTTACCTAATGTAGATCCAGCTTTAGAGCAAAATGTCGCATTTCATCAGCGCTAAGCCCTGGATCCATAATTCTTTGGGCGATACACCCGATGGTAGCACATAGGAGGATCTTCACTATGTACTAGTTCCTGATGAACGTATCCAGAGCCATTCCCACCGACATATTCTGCTTTCATAAAGTGCCCCAAGATGAAATATTGGTGTAGTTCCTGACCGACTATAGTGTTTTGGTATATAGAACTCAAAATGCGTTGAAACTCATCTATCTTCCTTTGCTGCTACTGACCAGATGTTCCTTTTCTATGCTGTCACCAGCTGCTGGTGCTTACCAGCGCATTCCTTATCCCCTACACTTACAGTGGACCAGATTTCCTTAAGACTTGACGATATTTAGGCCAAAACTATGATCATCAGCATCGGGTAAGAAAACCGAGCCTAAACGAGTCGTACCAAATACTATATATAGCTCTCGGTTTATTACCGACACCCATGGTCAGTTTATCGTGTTGCTCATTCAAATGCTGATAAGAAATGGCCGAATTGCTAGGAAGCTGAGGACTGAGGAAGCTAGATAGGTTCACGTAGAGCCAGGGATACGGTACTCGGGAAGTGCAAAACAAGTTCGAGAGCCGTCTGAAAAAAGTTCTGCTTCGAAAAAAACCGTAGCCTTTCAGGAATTCGAAATTGGGCCTTTCCCCTTGGCTCTTTCGGCTAGAATAAAACATCATCGAAATGATGCAGCCACAGAGAATACTCACTCTTATACAAACAGCAGCATGGGGGACTTTTTGCCGGAAATCGGGTCGATGACGAACCTGGGATTATCGCTCGCGTGGAGAGAAATTCGCAGGAACCCCAACTCGGTAAATATTAGTGCAAAAGCATCCCATCGATTGCATTGGAGAACGACAGCGGAGCCAGAAAAAAAAACCGACGGCGTAAGTGTCAAACAACCCTACAAACAAAACAACTAGCTTCCGATTCCCTTAGAAGTCACATAAGAAAGCCATAACACCATGGGCAGCCTTAAACGGTCTGAAGACTCTGAACACTCGCATATTGCCTTGCTCCCTCCCTTCCAAACGATAGTATTAAATTATTCATTGGTAGTTCTGCTGGAATCATTAGTACTATCGAGTTGGCAAGTTGAAAATTTTCATTCTCCAAGGTTAAGGAAATCCCTCTGCTCCAGAACTTCGCAGTGTAGAATGATTACGATCTAGTTTTGACTGGATTCCATCTAAATCCCCCCTGTAGCATGACGAAAATGGCCCTCGATATCCTTTAGGTTACTGTTTGAGAAATAGAGAAAAATTTTTAACTGGGATTGGAATGAAAAATTAACAGTTGGAAAGAATTTCGGGTTACAAAAGCTGCAAACTTCTTCAGAGAGTAGCCAGGTTCATACACTTTTTCTGAAGGAGCTGAATTTTTTTACTCAGAATCCAAAAAAGAACCTCAGAACTACAGCAATGAACGATATCGTTCGAAGAAATCGATGCCGTTGGAGGAATGCTCCGAAGGGATGAGGAGGCGAGAGAAGTCCCTCTTAGACAGGTGTAAAGACAAAGTAGCAACGAAGAAAGAGAGAATGGAATAAATGGGGTGCGGTAAGGGACCAACACTTTTACATGACTTTTACCTGACACGAATGGAAACAAACGGAAGTCAAATTAAAAAGAAAACAAAACAGAGTATTTTGCAATGCTCCTCATTGCCTACCCTGGATTTTTCCACTAGGTAACTATACATAAATCCGAACAGCATTCCTGCAAAGGTCCCTGTCTCACAATCAGACCAATTTCTGAGGCAAGCTCCGACTTAAACTAAATTGAACGGAAATGAGGCTAATCTTGGCCCAATCTATGTGGCACTTAGAAATTCACTAGCCACATGGGGATTCATGAGTGGCGTTCCAAATTGAGAATATTAGAAGAATACCAAATTGAGAATAGAATTTCGATTGAGAATATTATTCAACATTGACTGTTCCTGCCCCCATAAACCTAAACTTTTTCGATTCTGGAGGTTGAATTCAATTTCCATGTAGGTCCGTTCATTTCGAAAAGCAGGAGAAATATATGTCGGTTCGCCTCCACAAACGGGCTGATTTTCTTCCCTAACTAGATATTGATTTCCCAGGAAATATGGTTCTGAAGGTGCTTTTCGATGCCACTATGTTAGTGCTTCCGGTTAAATATTCATAGGGATATCCCTGGGAAACTGAGAAAATTGCTTTACATTTCCATTTCAGCGCTGGTTCGCCAACCAGCTGCCAACCATTTGGAGGCGTACAAAGAATCCAAAGAGAAACGAAACGAAAAATTTAATTAAACTCCAGCAACAAAGGAATGTGAACTCACAATGGACATTAGGAATGAGCCTTGCAGGCATAATGAGACGAAGCCGAATGCATTCAGACAGAAAAGGCAGCACGAATATGAGGCGATCAGTAGAATCGTTATTATATACTGAAATGAGATGAAATTATTCAAAAACAACATTTCGGCTCTAAAAAAACGCTTCACAGCTACCATGGAAATTTCTTGTTCGGTAAACTGTCAAAACTTTAGGAGCCATTTACAGGAAGATGAAGGAGGCTCTTTCCTGTCGAAAAAAGTTTGATGAGCTTCCCAAAAGGTCTGATTGATACATAATGTATCTATGTGGAAACTAAATCCACCTGTGTACAGTTGGCACCCCCCTTGGACTCTCAAAAGAGGTTTCTGGCCTGCTCCTGCGAACCACGATGGTCCCTTCCCTAGGCTCTGCCGTAACTATTATAACACTTGATTGGTAAGGCTGTAGCCGTAATGAAAAAAATTACCCTGCCTATTATATATTTCTCCCTGATTAATTCAATTTTGTGCTGGTTTGCACTACATGTTCCCTTCAGCAAGAGCTCCGAAGAGCAATTTCAACAAAAAAAAACTGCATTGGGGCTCTTCAATTAAAAGGAAAACTCGAGAAAGTCTCCTAGTAACATTTCTCAGAAGAACTAAAGCCATTGGTGTGCTTAATATAGATATCTCTGTAAAACTTCGTGGGTTTGTGCCATCGAGTGATATCCATGAGGGGATGCGTCCTATGGCTCTATTGGAATCTTATGTCTACTGGAATCATCTGTAACTATGTAGTTGGCACCTCCCTTGGACCCTGGAAAGTTTCTGTGGTCCATTCCTGGAAGCACTGATTGTCCCTTCCCCTATACTCACAGATACAAAGCAGTCGTAACTAATACTTGATTGATACGGCAGCAAGCCATAATGAAAAAATTATCCTCCCTATCCTATATTTCTCCCTGCTTAATTCAATTTCAGGTGCTAGTGGGCACTACATGTTTCCTTCAGCGGAGCTCCGAAGAGCAATTTATCAGAAAAAAACTGGAGCTGCACTGGAGCTATTCAATTAGAAGAAGAACTCAAGAAAGCCTCGTAGTTTCCCAGAAGAACTTATGCAATTTGAGTGCTAAAGATAGACAGCTCTAAAAAGCCTTGGAGATTTATGCCATCAATTGAATTCCATATGCCTTTTGGCCCAGTCCCCTTTTTCCAATAATTAAGCCACGAAAAAAAGCAAAAACAAACAAAGGAAAAAGAGTGAAAACAAGAAATGAACTCTTCCCATTGCAGAGACGTTATGCTTGGAGTTGTAGCTCTGCTAAACTTAACATTGGACCCCCTAAACCATCAATTTCCTTTTTTCCCACAACAGCTTTCATGTCTCATGCCACCCACAACGTCGTGTCCCCGTATGTGAAATCGATCGTAAATGCATAAACGAATGAGTCACCGGGTAATTCCATAGTGATAACCTTTTTGAGTTTTCATGGCTTGATAGATAGCAATCTGAGAAATGCTTCAATTCTAATGAGAAAGAGGGATGATTCATAATAGCAAAACCTCCA